ATATATATATATATATATATATATATGCAAGGTGTGTTTGGATGAGATTACAAAAATCTCTCGTGAACAAGTAGAGCGCAATTGAGCAAGAAAGTACTTTACCGTTTTGCAATTTTCTCAATAATTAGAAAGAATTCGCAAATAAGCGCGTAATTCGCGCGGCAGGGCTATAAGATATGCTTTAGGCGTGCCAGCGGTGAATGTCGCAACGAAAAGTAAAGCTTCTGCCTGCTCGCTACTTGTTACTTTCGTCTTCGCCGAGCGATCAAACTTTTCGTTGTCGCTATTGTCACGCCTAGAAAGTACAGCCTACGATTTAACCGCGCGAAACGCGCGCTAATTTGCCAATCTTTTTTAATAGTTATCTCAATAACTATTACGAAAATTACAAAACAGTAATAAACTTTCTTATTCAATTTATTGTGCGCTCTACTCGTTCATTAAAGGTTTCTTAATCGTCCCTAGACATCCTGTATATTGTAATGCATTTTTCTAAATAATAAAATTTGCCAACAAAATATAAGATATAATATTTAAAAAGATAATATTTCAAAAAGATAATATATTCAAATATTCGAATATATTCGAATACATGTCTGTAATATATATCTCTAATATCTTAATGACATTTTATTTGAATGATAAGATTCTGTTCTAAAAATATTTATAGGTTAAATATGTCCAAGACACGTGGTAGATTATTTGTTAATTACAGCACACTTAACGTGTCTCAGCGTCTGTGTCATTAATATGATCATGCGGTAATCTCGTGCGAGTAATAGACGACGTTACCTCATTGTTGCGTGGGCATCAATTGATACGAGGATGAAATACTTCACACAAATGCTGTAGTTGCATATTCTCGTTACGAAAATTATCTGCAAGACTGTGAGCGCGCGCTCGCAAGGATGCGCAATCAATTTCAGGTATTCTAAACAATCTTGATGATGAAAGATGACAGGAATGTCGCTCTCGTGTAACATTCTGATCTGACTCAATCAATAAGCTTTATCTTATGATTGTATTATCTTTTTGATATGAAAAATATTTATATATATCATTATCTGTATAATATTGCCTGTATTTTGTATTTTATACAAAAGTTATTTGCAATTGCTTTAATACTTACAAATTAATAAAATTTTTCGATGTTGGATATTAATATTATTTTAATATTAAGATTATTAATTTTATATAATTTGTTTGGCATATAAATATAATTAGCCTGTTGATATATTCGTGAATTCGTATCGATTGTAATAATGCAGATAACGTTGGCATCTGTCGTGTAAATACTTCTTTATCATGAGTGCGTGTTATAAATGTTTCACATTCTGAATGAAGGGTCTCTAGCAGCTGCAGAAAACCGTGACATCGTCATCTCACGCGATTATTTCCTGCTGTCGCGATTTGACACGTAGGACACGTATACTGTTTCCTAAATGCACCTAAATGTCAGTAAACTTTGACAGGCCGACTATTGCCGCGTATTTTTTTTTAATCTTAATCCTAGGTATGTGTCCGAGTTCTGATTCGCAAGTGTTTTGCACGATGGACTAATGAATATACACAATGTGTTAAAGTGCATAACCTCACATATTCCTGCACTCGTTTACGTATGCTTTGCTAACCAATTTCCTCGTAACTAATTTCTTGAAAAGATACCATAATCGTTTATAAGATTATTAAGGCTTTTATCTTTGTAGGTCAACATATTTTTTGTTGGAGTGACGTAAAAAACCGGAAAGATGAGCACGATAACGGAACAACCATGCTACACGTTGATAAACATCCCAACTGATACGGAGCCGCTAAACGAGCTCCAGCTGAAACTGGATCTCGAAAAGGGGAGCGTTCAGACGAAAATCGATGCACTCAAGAAGACGATTCACATGATTCTGAGCGGCGAAAGATTACCTGGATTATTAATGACGATCATCAGATTTGTCCTGCCTCTGCAAAATCACACCATCAAGAAGCTGCTGTTGATATTCTGGGAAATCGTGCCAAAAACTTCCGGTGATGGCAAGCTCTTGCAGGAAATGATTCTTGTCTGCGATGCTTACAGGAAAGACTTGCAGCATCCTAATGAATTTGTCAGAGGATCAACTCTTAGGTAAAGATATGAGAAGTCAAATAATATGGACAAAATTACAAGTCACTGTACTTACTATTTGCAATTTATTAATTACTATTCATTATTTATAGATTCTTGTGTAAATTGAAGGAACCAGAGCTTTTAGAGCCATTGATGCCAGCAATAACCGGTTGTTTGGAACACAGACACTCCTATGTCAGACGTCAATGCTGTGCTCGCTATTTTTACCATTTACAGAAACTTCGAATTTCTTATACCGGATGCTCCAGAATTGATAGCAAAGTATTTAGAAGGGGAACAGGACATGTCGTGTAGGAGAAATGCGTTTCTGATGCTGCTGCACGCTGATCAGAATAGAGCTCTTTCTTATTTAGGCGCATGTCTCGATCAAGTACCCAGTTTCGGTGATATATTACAATTGGTCATTGTCGAATTAATATATAAGGTATGAATAAATGTATTATATGGTGAACGTGGATGCATTTATCAAATAATCACTGTCGATATCATAAATCTCTTTTTTTTTTCCTAGGTTTGTCTTGCAAATCCGTCGGAGAGAGCGCGTTTTATCAGATGTATTTACAGTTTGCTGAATTCACCTAGTGCCGCGGTGCGTTACGAAGCGGCTGGAACTTTGGTGACTCTTTCCAGTGCGCCAACCGCGATCAAAGCGGCAGCTTCCTGTTACATTGAATTGGTTGTCAGAGAAAGCGATAACAATGTCAAGCTCATTGTACTTGATCGATTAATTGCGATGAAAGATAGTCCTGCATACGAAAGAGTACTTCAGGATCTCGTAATGGATGTACTTCGCGTTTTAGGTACTGCATTGATTATCATAAAAGTACATGTTAATAGAACTGTGTTGTTATCCATATTATAATTTATATATTGTTATCCATGTTAAATAGGCTCGCCCGCATTGGAAGTCAGAACGAAGACCTTAGCTCTTGCTATGGATTTGGTCACAACTCGTTCAATCGAAGAGATGGTTCAGCTTCTGAAGAAGGAAGTTTTGAGGACAGCTGGCGGAGAACACGAAGATGCTGGCAGGTATCGCCAGCTCTTGGTGCGAACTCTTCACGCTTGTTCCATGAAGTTCGCGGACGTTGCCGTTACCGTCATTCCAGTGTTGACAGATTTTCTGTCGGAGAGCCACGATGCGGCCGCTACGGACGTTCTTGTATTTGTTCGCGAAGCCATTCAGAGATTCGAAAATCTCAGACCGCTGATCGTCGAGAAACTTTTAGAAGTACGTGTGCAACGCCGCTAAAGATCTATCTTTAGAGAAAAATAAGCGAAAGTTAATTTTATTTTTGACCAATTAGGTATTCGCTCACATACGATCCGTAAAAGTACATAGGGCCGCACTTTGGATTCTTGGCGAGTATGCCACATCCAAAGAGGACATAGAAGCTGTAATGAGTCGTGTGCGTACTGCTTTAGGCGATCTGCCGTTACTCGAGGCGGAGAATAAGCGTCAAGCCGGCGAAAAGTCCGAGGATGGTAATTCGCAAGCCGCACCAGCACAACTCGTCACGTCTGACGGAACATATGCGACTCAAAGTGCTTTTAGTGCCACATCCGCACGTAAGTAACTTATTTTCACATGTGTCAGTTGTAGAAAAATTATAATTTAAATTAATCCGCAGGGAAAAAGGAAGAAAAGCGACCAGCATTAGTGCAATATATGATGGAGGGCGATTTCTTCATCGGCGCATCCCTAGCCACCACATTGGCCAAACTGGCACTGCGCTACAAAACGCTCGAAACCAACATCCAGAAGAGCAACAGATTACAGGCGGAAGCGATGCTTGTAATGTCCAGCGTATTGCAGTTGGGCCGTTCGGGTCTTCCCTTGAAAGCGATGACGCACGATGATGCGGAGAGGATTTCTCTGTGCCTCAAATCCCTCGCCTGTCCAACGCCTCTCGTTCAAAAGGTCTTCACCGAGGGATGTCGCGACGCTCTCGGCAGAATGTTGACCGCAAAGGCGGAGGAAGATTCGCAAAATCAAAAGGCCAAAGAGAAGCCGGGCAATATCGTCCAAGTGGATGACGCGATTCAATTCTTGCAATTGAGCCGGGGATCCGATCTGACCGGCGGCGCCGGTGATGTATTCGAACAGAGTCTCAGCGCTGCTGTAGCGGGACGACCAGGTGCCGGCGGTGACGCACCAGCTCCGAGCGCGTTGAGCAAAGTCACTCAGCTTACCGGCTTCTCGGACCCGGTCTACGCGGAGGCCTTGGTCCACGTCAACCAATACGACATCGTGCTCGATGTTCTCGTTGTTAATCAAACGGAAGACACTCTGCAGAACTGCACCTTGGAGCTAGCCACTATGGGCGATCTGAAGCTGGTAGAGAGACCGCAACCTATCGTGCTCGCACCCAGGGATTTCGCTACTATCAAGGCGAATGTAAAAGTCGCGTCCACAGAGAACGGAATTATATTTGGGAATATCGGTAAATTGATTTGGAAAGTTTGGAAAAGCTATTTGTAGCGCTGTCACCGGTTTTAGAAAGTTTGTAAAATTCACATTTAATTTTGTTTACAGTTTACGACGTATCAGGAGCGGGCTCTGACAGAAGCGTGGTTGTTCTGAATGACATACACATTGACATTATGGACTACATAGTGCCCGCGACATGCACCGATGCGGAATTCCGTCAGATGTGGGCCGAGTTCGAATGGGAGAATAAAGTTTCAGTCAACACTACTCTGTCTGATCTGAGAGAGTATCTTGCTCACTTGTTGAAATCCACAAATATGCGTTGTCTCACGCCGGAAAAGGCATGTTCAGTTTTTACCTTTCTACTGATTTTCTAATAGCATTGTAGAAGTTATTAATGTTTTTTTTATTTTTACACAGGCCCTTTCGGGACAATGTGGATTTATGGCAGCTAACATGTATGCAAAATCAATATTTGGCGAGGACGCACTGGCGAATTTGTCTATTGAGAAACCACTGAACAAATCCGACGCGCCGGTAGTCGGTCATATTCGTATCAGAGCCAAGAGCCAAGGCATGGCTCTGTCGCTGGGCGATAAAATCAATTCGGCGCAGAAAGGCCCGCAGACTAAAGTCGTGCAAGCGGCCTGAATCACGTCATTTCAACTAAATTTCGCTTCGCGCGATGTTCAAATTTCATCAAACGCGATATCATTACGGAATTTACAGGACCTCAAAGTTTATTATCAATGATTTTTACATATTCATGGCATTTAAGCTAATTACGACAAAGCAAACTTGTCTTAATCTTCACAAACATTCTTTGAATGTCTTGAATTTATGTATTATTTAAAAATCGAATTGGACTTGCTTGTGTCGCAGTTATATTACGACGTGTATCCTGCAATGCACGTTCATATTTATATTATGTTTAATTGTATTGAATTTCCTGCCGATATTGTTATGGCATAAGCATATAGTTAGTGTCCTATAAAGTAGGATGTATTCATCAGAGGAAAGAAATGAATAAACAGTACTTTATCTATGTAACTTTATTTATTTTTTTAGGCATTGTTATACCGTGCACCTCCACTCATTTGTCTCCTTTTTTATATATGCGTTGTGTGTATGATAACATATAAATTAGTCATTCTCTTCCAACACTTTCATTCAATCAAAAGCAACTGAGATGTATGAAAAGAACTTTACAGTCGATTTATTATTTTCAAGAAATATACAAATATATAAATTAATGTACATATATATTCAAAATATATCATACGTATCAAGATTTTTTACATCTATTGCCGCTAGATGGCATATGTATCTTATGAACGTATACGACGTGTACGATATACGTAAACTGTACGTATGTATTGCGATGTGTGCATGGCACTTGTCAAATTGCAGATAAACAGAAATTTTACGCTAAACGATGGACGGTGATCAATTGAAGAACACGGATCAGCAATTTATAACTTTTCATGATTTCTCACCGATAAATCAAGCCAGCAACACTGGCGGACAGTTGGAAACTGCAGCTGCAACTCATCAGCCCTTTAATAACCTGTCAAATGATTCCACTGGAATTGGCATAATAGAAGATTTACAAGGAATGCCCAATAAAAACGAAGGTTCATATTTATAATTTGTAGAAAAATCTTTTCTTCTCAATAAATAGATGTTGACATTTTTATTTAATTGAAACTCAGATTAATTGGAGTCTTGTTTTTTTCAGCTACTCGAAGCTTCTGGACGATTGAGTATTACCAAAAGTTTTTCAATGTCAATACAAACGACGTCCTGGAGCGTCTCAAGCGATCCATGGTACCACATGGACGCGATAATTATCTTATAACGCACATAAGGCCAAATCCAGATTTGTACGGTCCTTTCTGGGTATGTGTGACTTTGGTATTTTCCATTGCCATTAGTGGAAATGTGGCAAACTATTTACAAACCGCCGGTTCTGCCAAGCACCACTGGAGATACGATTTCCACGTCGTGTCCTATGCAGCCACTTGCATATTTTTGTACGCATGGCTTCTACCATTAGCCTTGTGGGGTGCGATAAAGTGGACCAGCAGTTCGAGAAATACCGAAGAGGAATTAATTGAGGTTTATTGTTAAGAAATTTTTGTCCTAATCTTTCATCTTTAATCGTTACATCATCATATAATCTTTATTTTTCAGTCTTACGCTCTTCCTGGACTTTTAGAACTCTTGTGTTTGTATGGATACTCCTTAACCATCTACATCCCAGTAGTTTTTCTATGGGTCATTCAAATCAGCTGGTTGCAGTGGGGCTTAGTCATATTAGCAACCTTTTTGTCAGGAGGAGTTTTGCTACGGTCATTGTTACCAGTCGTTACAAGTAAAAAAAAAAAATATATATATATATATTAAATTAACAAGTCAAATAAGTGAGTCTAGCAAATGAAAAATATAATGAATGAAATGTAACTGATTTTACAGATAAACATAGAATTATATACGTTGCTGTAATTCTGGGTATGCATCTACTGCTAGCAGCAGGATTTATGCTGTATTTCTATCACGTGTCATCCAAGAGCACCGTTTCAGCTGTGGATAATTTAGTAATTTCCTCTACTCAAGCCAATGTACTGCATAAAGTAGTGCAAAACAACAGTTCTAATGTAGTGCCAGCGTCAGCCTCTTGAAACGTCGAGCAGATCTGATAAATCCCTATTTCCGAGATTATCAGGAAAACTTGTTTATTTACGTGATATCGAATACTATTTTATTTAGAGAAATATCATCGACTTACTATAAATATGCATCGCACACGACGCTGATTAGCGTAATAAATTTCGTTTATGTAAAAATAATATTTATACTGTAATTGTGAATTATAAGTTAGAAATAAAAAATATCCCGATCCTTACACAGGTGTTTCTACGAAGATAAGATAACTCATTAACCCCGCTGTGGTCGATACGTCGCTACGTTCAGGACAGTGATGCACAAGACCGGCGAAGTGTCTGGTTGATTTATTTCACAGCCCTACTGCAATATAGGGGCGCGTTACATCAACGCAACACACATATCATTTACAATCATACGAAATAATCTCCACGACGTTGTACATAATGCGTGATCGCGCGGTATTTTTTTTTTTTTAGTATACTTATAATACAATAGATTATTACATTATTAATCGCACATAATTCATTAGTATCTTGCTCATTTACCAATGTGACAAAAGGCAACATTTATTTTGTAGTTGTTATCGTTAATGTTATTATCGTCGGTGTATTCAATACATATATGCCATGACAATAGTAATTCGCTCGCAGCCACGATGGAAATCGTGTAATCGCAGACAATGCGTGCCGTCGGTACGACGCCAGTGAATACATGTGCTGCTTGGATCAACGACTCTAACGCTGCTTCGATTAGTCTCGCGAGACAATTTTTTCACCCCGAAAGTACTAAAAAAAAAAATTTATCAGCTTCGAAAGAAGCTGCGCAATTAAAAACATTTGCTCTCAATCGATAATGCGCCAATTATATCCTCGGAAACTAATTGAAAATCGTGTTTTTTTTTCGAAATATATTATTATATTGACAGATCATCGCGGTAAGATTCAAGCCTTGTCGATGTGAGCGTCGTATGTATAAAATACAAGAATTCTACGGGTAAAAGCCTAGAATTATACGTGAAGTCGAGCACCTGTCGCATTACGCTATTTTTATTCGTACAAACTCTGCCGTAATGCAACTCTTTTTATTCTCGTAAAATCGATCCGTATTGAAATATGGGCAAGTTACACTCGATCGTCGCACCAAAAGGATTTTGGCCGTTAGCTGCATCGAGGTCGATTAATTAATTCTGGATAATTTTCTCTTTCTAAATATATATGTATTATATATATAGAGTAGCTATATGTGTATTATAGCTAGCGCTATGATCTAAAGACATTTATCTTATACAAATATGATATATGAATAAGGAATCTAATTTTGTGACTTGGCAGGAAAAGGCCAAACATCTCATGTCTGAACATATGATATTTCCTTCCTTCTTTTTTTTTTTTGCTCTTTCCTTCTTCATTTTCGCAAAGTGTTAAATCATGGTGCTCGACGATGAGAGGCTGTAACGGTGTCAAAGTTCACAGCTAGTGCTCACAACGACGTTGGTCCGACGTGTTTACGAGATATTGCAGTCAAAGATTGCGAATAGGCAGGAACGATAATTAATAAGTTAATAAGTCTACGACAGTCTAGTACCGAGTTTACTGCTCCTCCCCCTTTCTTTTGCTCTATTTAATATTTCCAACGTTACACACGCAACGCTTACTTTTTTTTATCTCTTTACAACCCCTAGCACTCTCACACGTTCGCGCGGTAGCACGTGCTCGACGACTGAAGTCAGTGAATACGCCGTCGTTTATTTACAATTGTTATTGTAAAACTGTTATAATACACAATAATTGTTTCGTTTCATTGCTCGCGACGATGCTCGCGTCTGACGTATACCGTCACGTAACGTATTACACATACACATATTAATATATATATATATGTACCCTGGTTTTATCAATTATTACATTACAATATATGTATATAACAATGCTCATAAATGACGCGTTCCTTTCGTACAATGTCAGTCCGCTGTATGCATTTGACACGCAGTGGAGAAGACAGATATTGTGTAAAACGAATGCACCCTTTATAAGCAAACTATACATTTACGAGCATATATATATCCTACTATATTCTTTTTTTTTATTACAGTAATTTCAGGTTGGTTATTCAGTCGCATGCTTAATTAATAATTACGTAATCTGATTTACATAACAACGTATGTTGCATTGAACTCGACGTGAAATCTCGTAATAACGGAAGCCAGTTTTTTTTTCGGCGCACTGTAAAATTGTGACTAATATAAACGGTCGTGATTCATAACAATCTTGCATTTTTCAACAAAACGTGATTTTACCGAATTCCGTTACAGCGGCAACTATGCAAATCAATCGCGAAATATTTCATCGGCAGTATTTGCTCGAAAAGTGATTCAGCAATTTACACACATATAGAATTTGAATTAGCGTAATTTGATTGTAAATCAGTGAAAGCAAAACTCATATTTTTACAACGCGCAAATCTAACTCGCGGATCCAAGCTCTGAAAGAGATATTTATAGACTTTACAAAATTTTTTAGAAATGTTATAAACTTTCTCTGCTATTGCTCTTTGCTGCTATTGGCTATATGTTACAAGATTCGATTCGTTTTTACGCTAATTTTATGCATATACAATTTAATAATATTTAGTAAGATTAAAAAGTGTGAAATCGAAAGAATGTAGCAGATGGAAAACATATTGTTGAGAGCAAGTTGATAGTTTTGTCTCTTTATTCTTTTCTCGTTAAAATTTTCTGGAGTTTTGATATGTTTTTTGCGTCAGGAAATCCAATTCTGTAATTCGTAATTAATCAAATTACGAATAATAAAATTGTTCGTATTCATCGAATTATAAACGCCTTGGAGAGAATTTTGTTCGTGTAATCTATACGGGATTTGGAGCCGATATTGATTGAGAAGAATGGATATACATTGTTACATAGATTTCGCATCTTATCGACATCTGCTTGCCAACACGTTAATATCATAGTAGAAATCCTTACGTCTTAATGAAAAACTACCGTGGAATTTACGGCGAAGAATGAATCTTACAAGCTTAATTTTTATATATCCTACAAAAAATCAGCTTCCATATGCGGTTATCTATTGTATGAGTTTTTAAATGCCCTACGATCAATTTATCAACTTCACAATCAATATTATTCTATAGCTTGAAAATAGAAGAAAGGAAGTGTCATATGTTCGATTAGAAGAAACCCGTGGAGACCAGGATAGATTCAATTTTGAGAACTCTGAATAGGTTATAATAGAATTTCGAATAAGGGGATCAAGGATGCTAAAGCCACAGAATCACATTGGTTGATCTAGCTTCGAAATATTTAAGTTTTACGCGAATAGCACAGCGAAGTACAGAACGAATTCTGGCGGAACGCCGAGACAAGATATTTACTTTCTAATCGTTAATCGCGTTATCTTGTGCTATTGGATTCGATGCAACGTCATATAAAAAGGGACGATTCGAGCTTTCATGCCTAACGGATTCTCCGTCTATGTATTACAAACGCGAGGCTCTTTTGATCGACGTCTCATTTTGATCACTTTCTTTTGGTGAAATGATTACTTTGATTGCGGACTTAGATGTATAGAACAGGTACGTAAGAGTGAAACATTGTTTTTCCTTTTCTTATCTCTCCTCCTCGAAAGCTTCCATTCCGAAATCGCTGTGTGTTAAGCTGCTGCTTAATAAAATCCAGCAAAGTGTGTACGGTCGATTTTTCAGATGCGACAAGCTGAGTTTTAGGCGTACTTAGTAACTGTTATTGATTAAGAGTCGCAAGTATCGAGATAATTGACGTTTATGTTGGAGCAAATAAAGAATGTCACAATTATGCCAAGCTCGAAACTTCCGCTTCGTCCTCGTTTAAGAAATGTGCAAAATCGATATTTAAAAAAAAAAACCACCTGTGAGCAAGCGGCGCTTTCCCTCTTGCTTTGGTCGCAAACAAATCGGAAAGTGCTGTATAAAAAATAATGGACACAAGAAGCAACAGTGATGCGTTTTGGATATTATCCAAATAATGGATCGCGATTAAGAAAATTTAAAAAGAGAATAATTGCGCTTAATACTACTCAACTCATTAGAATAAAAGATATAAATTAATATTACATAAAAAAAAAGAATACGGGAAGTAATAGTGGCTTTTCGATCGCAAGATGTTTTATCGAGCTGAATATTGTTGGTGGAGACGGAGCTTTTTGAGAATACAATTGGGATGAATGTTTAATAATAAAAAAAAGAGTGCGCTTAATATACTATTCAACTCAGTTCACAGATTGCCCGACGCGCGGACATCCGCATTTATTTACGAATTAAGACATAGTGACGTCTGTGTACCACTGCGTGTACCCGTTCTCTGTCAATTTGTCAAACGTGTTTTTTTTTTTCTTTTTTCTTTTCACTTTTATGCTCTATATTTTCCTTCCCTCTCACCTCTCTTTCTCTCTCACACGTGTTGTTTGCGTTGCATAATAATTCGAATACACTTATACTCGCGACTCCGAACTACAACGGAGCCTCATCGATCGCCTTAAGCATTAGTCTTTAGTGTTTGATTATTATACTACAGTAATATACAGAAAATCGTGGCTCGCGCCGACCGATCGCACGCTAGCCCGCTCACTTCGACCCCTCGTCGTCAAATCGGCTCGACCGGCCAGCGAGCGCTTTCGGCGAAATTCGCGCGCGAGCGTGCGAGCGGCCGGCTCGGTTAATCAATATATTCGATAATTACAATACACTAAATATAATCAGCTTCACATGTGTGTATTAAAATATAAATATCAAATAGACTTCTTGCGTCCACAGGATATATGCATCTTAATGTCGATGCGCGACTTAAAAAATTCAGAAACGCTCTCTAGTCTTTAAGTAAGTTGTCACCGATTATTTAAAGTCCTTATTATCGGAAGAACGATGAACTCGTGGCCACCGAAAGATTGCGAAACGACGCTCCTCCTCGTCCTTCACATCCCTCGCGACTTCCGTACTTCCGGTCCGTTTCGCTCTTCGGTAGTCACGAGTTGCGTCGCGACGTGATTAGAATTTTTTTTTTTTTCGGTAGCTTACACATACGGTCGGTGTAATTTGCAAAAATGTGACGCCGCGTCGATCGAGAGCCGGAATTTTCTCTTTACACGAAAATTCTCTTTCCCACATACCATAAATTTGCCGTTAGATATTGTTAATGTCACATTAATTATGCGGATTACAAGCTATCAATCACGATCCACCGAATAAAAGTATCCAAATGCGAATTTTTCAGTAGAGAAGTTTTGTCCGTTCGAATTTGTCCACCCGTGATTTTTTTTTTTTTGCTTATTGTCAATAGAGAGAAGTAGACGACGATCCGTTCTCAGTCGATGCGACGGATGTTAACAACGTGGCGGTCGGCGGCTCTCTTTCTTTACACTACGCATACTTTTTTTTTTTAATTTGTTAAACATATGTTTCGATACTAACGTTCGTCGATGACATCGATTCGACTGCGTGCGCAGAGTATTTCCGAGGCCAAACTAAATCTACACTTTGTACTCTGGTCGACCTCCGGAATAATCTGTCGCACGCACACAAGCTTCTTGTTACAATGTATAATATATTTGTAATATGGATGCAATATTTATAATATATTCAAGTATATATCTATCTGTGTGTGTGTGTGTGTGTGTGTGTGGTGTGTGTGTGTGGTGTGTGTGTATGTCTATCTATGATCTATGTATGTTATGTGTATGCATACCTTTATATATATCATATATATACATTTATATATATTTATATATATATATAAATATATATAGTTATATATATATTTGTAAACGATCAGTTGCACGCTTCAGATGCACACCAGCCGAATGCCTAAGTACGGATACGACCCCGAAAATGCATCCAGCGATGTCGGTGTCGCGGTAACGCAAGGCACGCTCTACCTAAGTCTACTCTAAATCTCTTAGTTAGAATTTCTCTTTATTTTGTAATAGTAACTATGTTTCTTGCAAAAGACACTATTCTATGTTGCTTTACGTTGCGTTGGATTTACATACACATTCGCGTTAATTATTTCCACAATTTATCCAGAGTCCATTCTCGAATAAATCATAAATTGATTTGTGCCAAATCAATTTTAAGTAATTTGTTAGATTGACTAAGTGTATATGAAACATTGATAACAGATATAACAGATATAACATAGCTTTCTAGAAAAGGGAGAGCTCTTGCGATTCAAACTCGTTGTATTTATTACAACACGAAGAAGAGCCGATGCTGATTCATATCAAGATTATGATAATAAATCGTTTTAAAATTATATTTGAAGTTTTCGAATTTTACGTGAAAATGACAATCAATGATAAATGAAATTAACATCTTATTGCATTACGATACGAACAAAGTACGCAATTAGTTATGCGAGTAATTACAAATGTTAAGCTTGTTCGTCAGCTATCCGTACTTAGGTATTGCTACTCGTGACCCTACGACCTGTGTGCCTCTGTATGTTAATAAAACCCTCGAATGCGGGTTCACCGCGTACGCAAGCGATAGTTTTGGCTCAGCCAACGATTACAATACTTTAAGAAACTTCTTGCGAAAGCTTAAAAACACTCTACACACTTAGTAATCGTACTTTAGAAATTTCACTTTACTCGCCACTTCGGGCGATTAATTGGGGTTACTATATTCTTGGTGTATGCATGTTGTGTGTGATCAATGGAAGGATTCATTTGCACGCGAGCCAGGAACATTGACAACATTCTCCAGCTTATCGTGACGTCTCAGCTTTAGTCAAATGATAATTTCACGATTTCCAGAAATGCCGCAACGCACCCAAGTCCCCGTGAAACGCGAATCCTTCGTGAAAATTGTCGTGTATGATGCTTGTTTATTCACGTACGAAAAAGAGATTTGGCAGATAGTATATTAATCGATGACTAACAATTTATGTGCATTTATGTATGTATACATGTATAAATGTCGCGTATAACAATTATTGTATATCTTTATTGACAATAATTCATTAATAAGGCAACGCTACGAAATTCTTTCCCAAAAGAATTTGTCTATCTGTTGAAATGTAGTATATATCAAGTCAACTCAAGTCAAGCGAGGATATTTAGATGATAATTAGCTGTTTAAACATAGAAATTTGGATTAATATGCTTGAAATTATGGAATATGTATATAGAGAACGGTGCTTAAGCTAAAGAAACTCACAATAATCGAAATAAACGATAAATCACGCCGACGTCAGAATGATTCATCAATAATTATGCAATTATTATTATAATATAACTAAGATATACGAAAGAGACGTTTATTTACAAATACGTAGCGCAGCCATATATTTTATCGATGTAAAGTAGTAAGTTCGATTTTTTATAATCATACAATATAGAGGTCAAAGTGAGACGGACATTTACACACCTCCGCGCCTCTGCTATAAATTGTCCCCATAGTGTTACTTTTAATTGTCTTGAATTTTAAGCGGCTAAGGGAATCGTGTCTAAGTATCGTGAGTAATGAAGAAACGAATACCGTCCACTTCGCTCAAAGTATGTAATCGAAATACGAGTTTTACATGTTAAATATCAGAAGAGACTACACTTCGATCCCTCAAACGTGTATGTACCAAAAATGTAGAGAGATTCGAAAGAGGGAAAAACGGCCTGCGTCTGTAAAAAAGGGTCTCCCTAATTACGCATGTTACTTTTTTTTTGATTTTACAAATACATAGCGTAACGATCAATTTCTAACTGGTCCAATGGCGCAGGAACGATCCGCCGATTAAGTACTCGCGACTGGATCGTCTTCTATGTTACGGGGATGAAAGGAGCCTAAAACGTACGATCTGCAAAACACCAAGTTTCCTACCGACTCGTGAAGAGAAATATTTTTGTTCCGTATTAAAAGACACCGCCTAATTAAGAGTCTATTAGTCACGCAGAGATGAAACGCGTAAACGGCAGAGAATCTAGACAGTGATGTGTCTACAAAAAACGAGGGTACTCTCTCTCTCTCTCTCTCTCTCTTCCTCACCTATGACTAATCTCTATAATACAGCATTATGCATAAATCGTTAGATATATCTAGTACAAGTCCCATCGTTAATTATTATTTGCCGTTACATTACCATAGTATAATAGTGAACATTAAGAACATCGAAGAACAGTCAGATAGTGAATATCGTCGCTCCTACCTTACGTTTACCCCGCGCGATAAACTATTCATCCTTGCTTCCCGAATCGGACTTCATTTCTTACTTAGTAACGACAACTTTTAGAACTCTCTTGTGCAATCAACTTCAATAATTGTATTCTGCTTTAGAACAAACTTTAAGCTCTCTTAAATTTCAGGATCACTAAATGCAGGATTACATTCTTCAAGACTTTCTTTACCATCGCGTCCAAGTGTCGGGCTTTCCTAAATTCGAGATGTAAATACAGGACTGGATTTAGTAATGATACACAGACAGATCCTCTAACAAATATCTACGATATTGGAGTAATTAGTAGAAACGTTTCGAGAAACATTCAATTCAAGTAGAGTTTTAGATGACTTGCAAGACTTGCGGCGTTTAATTAAAATTTAACAGTTCTAGTCTATTCATCGACGAAGCTGGCTGAAGTTTAGCTAACAATTGTCTATACTCGCAAATGTGGTCCGATTACGACGAGCAATCTAGCAAATAGAGACCGAGAACCTAAGAAAGAGAAATGTTCAATAACTTACGGAGCACAGTACAATATCAATCCTCTATTAACTCCAAAAATATGTTATTCTTTCCTATATATACCTCTATATATAACTACATATCTATCTCTCGTGAGAGTCAGTGTTACTTCGTTTACAGTGATAATATAATTTTATACGAACTGTCCGTACAACGCGATGAATATTATAGTCCTAACTCCACAATGAAATCGTAAGCCTGTCCCCTTATCCTATTTTCTTTTTTTCTTTTTTCATTGCGCCTGACCATTTTTACACGAATACTTTTCCGCGCTAAGCACATCCAAGCCATTTCTCAACTTCGTATGATTTTACAAGCAATCCGCCACTCGCGCACGAAAAAAAATATCGATCATATCGATTCATCTTCCACTTCCTCTCGTCGGCAGTTTCATTGATATTAAATCTACATCATGTTTTTTAATACAAATAAAACTGCAATCTTCAGATGCTCATTCGAGACTCGACCAATTTTTCGTGCACCGGCGCAGGATTGAGACTTGGAGATTCCGTGCTGAACAAATCTTATTTCCGGCCACACAATCTCACTTTTTAGGCACTACACCTAAGACTAATATATCACTCCCCCACCTCGGATGCAATAAGAAACATATGTACATATTTCAAAAACGATTAAAAGAACTAGATATATCCTACTTCTATATAATGTATATTATACTATTCGAACGAAAGGAGTAACTATATTGCGCACGACTGCACGTGCGAATGGTTAAATAATTATTCTTATAATTCGTTTCTAGAAGATTACTGTCAGTAATTGTCAGTTACACGGTTAATACAAACCGAATTCACATTATGGAGGAATTTAACAATCACGCAACCCTAACACGAAATGATACTAACTTTTGCAAAACTATATATATATATAGAACATGTAAACTTTTATACATTATAAATACTCGACGATATATCAGCAAAGAATTGATGTTAGAAAATATCCGTGAAAGTTTATGCGACGTAGCTCAGACTTCGAAATTAAAAAAGAAATCGTCATCATCCGCAAGTTGTCGCCAAACAATCAGCGTGTAACATCATATCGCCTCGCGAATCATCACGAATTATTCTTAACTGCAGCAAATGTATGATCTCCCTTCCGTGTATAATTAATGTGTTAAGATTAGGATACAATTCTTACATGCTTTATACCTCGCGATATATACGCCGGGCACGCGAGACAGCCCGCTCCAAGCGCTTTAACTGCGCACGACTATCGGCATTATAATAAAATATCACAACTAGAACCATTGATACAGTTACGGTATCTTTTACTTAATTTTCCACACAGCGTTTTATAGCGTCTCTACTTCTTTTTATTTAGGTAGTTTATTATGTGTGATAACGTGTGTGTTTGTATGTGTATGTCTCTACTTACACCATGTGTGATCTAAAATAACGAGTACGTGATTGGAAGCAAGCATTGGCTGATGAAGTCAAGTCGAAAAATCCAAAATATCGATACAAAATCAAGTCGACCTGAGTCCATGATCAGTGCGCATTTTGTACCCTCAAAGCAGTCGATATTTTCGATATGTCACTCGTCTAAAAAAAAAGTCTCCCGCACATCATTCTTACGTACTGCGATACAAAAAGTAACGTAACGTGCGACTGCAATTCAAACGCCACGATCCCCGTTCTAATCGAGATCCCATCGTCAGTCAAGGCTTGCTCATGAATAGGAGACAAACATGTGACTAAAATCAATCTAATAATACGCGGAAATATACACAGATGAGAAAAATGAAGAAGAAAAAAGGGAAGAATGTAACTTATCACTACGAATAGTATGACTGCTAGCTTACAAACGTAGGTGTGCGTATATGTGCACCTGAGGATGACAATCCGAGCACGCATATACACACACACCCGTTCTACACGCCCAACGTTACGTAGAAGATGAAAACCTAAGGATATGACTCTTTTTTTTTTTTCTCACGATTCACATGGAGAAAGGTATGGTAATTTCAATGCGACGTGATTATACCTCTACTGCCACACGTGGAAGCATGTATGTTATGTACATATACAAGTAATCACGCGGACTAATCCGCTATGCCAAAACCGAGAGGTGGATACCGACACGTAACATAATTGATTACGGTGATTGCAATATGCTCCACTGATACGTCATAGCGCGTCTCAGTCTATATCGAAGAAAAAGAAAAAAAGACTCGCCTCTCTACTTATCCCTTTCTCTTTTCCCATTACAGTTAATTACTCAGTGTAAATACGATTATTCATTAAACAGGCACATCGAGTTGGTTAAATATTTCTTTTTTTTTTGTTGTTTCCTCGTATAATGTAAACGTATTGATGCGTATACGAAAGAGTGTCGGGCGAATCGCTTAACTTTAAGACAAGGGGGGAGTAAAACTGCGTGAACTGCAGAAACAAAGGAGAAGAGCGAGAAGAAACGAAGTCCTAAAACGTCACTTTTGCCGAAGCAAGTTTGACATCGTTAGATTACATCGATTCATCTGATGCCTCTCGATATAAAGGCACTCGAGAGATTTGCGAGGCTATCATGGACCCGATAGCCGTAACGGCCCTGCTCTATAAGTTAAATATAGTTAAATTGCAGCTGTGTATATCGTTTGTCGCTTACTTATTGTATCGCGTAAAGGGTTTCTTTTTCTCATGATACCGGTAACATGTTTAAAACTCCGTTACACCTACACTACACTTGTATATCTTTATATATCTATATACTCTATAATTTTTCTTCTCTTTTCTCTCTCTTTCTTTCTTTCTCTCGTTTTCTCTCTCTTTCTCTCTTTCACTCTCTCCCTCTCTTACTCTACGTGTAAAATATCTCTAATTAAACTCTGGACGTGAATCACTCTAAACAACATACCGCAATTAATCTCATATACGCCGAATATTACCGTTACAACTTTCTATACACTTATTAGTAGAATTAGCAAAACAATGCCTAAGCGTTATTCCATAAAATCACGAAATACATGTATTAGCAGTTGCGTATAGTAACGCCGGTATCTGAAGAATAGTGTTATGTATACCTCATCTACGATACCGCCTGAGAGAATGGTGATGCAGGAAAAGAGTGAAAATGATTGATGCAAGGATGATAACTTTATGATCTGGATGTAGGAAATGCAACATGATCGAACGCAGCAAGTAAAACTCGTGAAAACTCGTTTTATGAAAACTACCCTATAAATAGAATCTCTTCCTTCTACAGAAAAACAAACTTGTGTACTATATAGAAAGACATGTGTGCAATAATTTTGAAATTTTGAACTGCAAAATTTTTTATTAATAGAAAAAAAATAATATTCTTTTTTTCCGACTAACATTATTATTAACGTTTTGAATTTTACCGGAAACTATGGGGAAAAAAAAAAATATATATATATATATACACATCTAAGTACAATGCAAAACTGGGGGAAAAATAACTTTTAGAAAGGGTAATGTTTTCAGGGTATCGTGTATAATCAAGACATTTCTGAGGGAAAAATTTTCAATTATTCAAGACAGAAATGTAAGCCAAATAACAATAAAATATATAATGGGTCTTTATTAAGACCTTAATTAATTATTTAATTATATAATTATAATTATAATGTATATGAATGTACAAATTTTCTTTTTTTTTAGTCTCCGATAAAATACAACACGTTAATCGGAAAAAAACGTTAACGTACGGTCATCCTATATACAATTTATAAACTCTTTAAGATTGAGTTTCAAATAATGAACTTAAGCTTGATTATCTCCCTATTTGTACAATTGAGAACAGAATATTAGACATGAGAACAATGATGATTAGTAACAACAATATGAGAGTGACATGATAAATGTGGATGACAATGATTAAAATGACAATGACTGTGAATACGATTCAAAGTAACATAAGAATAAATAATAGGACTGTTCCAAAAAAGGCACGTCAAAGCTTTCGTCAATTCGGATGTCGTGCTGTTATCTTAAGAAACTCGTGACTTGATTCTAAATTTCTTGCATATTATCTTCTGACTCTTCATACGACTATGCTTACGACAACCCGAATAATCCTACTTGAAGAACTTTTTGTAGTTCCGAATATACGATACAACTAAATAATGTGTAGGTAAGTGTACATGTGTGTCTGTATGAATGTGTTAACGTATACTCGAGAAACATATTATAAACTACAAAAGAATAATGTAGCTCCTCATTAATCTTGAGTGCCCGTTATAAATAAAATATCATAAAAGCGTGTAGCATATTCCGTAGCGAAATTCTTACAATATCGAAAAACTATCAGCGAGAACAAATTAATCGATACTGTGCCATCAAAAAAAATCTAATTCGCTAAAATGATTTTGTTAAGGAGCATTAAAAATGAGATAATCGCGAACGATAATGTACGCCGACATATCGCAAAGAAATGCAAATTCATTCGCATTCAAACTAAATCGCAAATCGCGTATAAATGATATTTCTTAACAATTCTATGTGCCATGAACCGGCACTGCCACGATGTGCAGATCTCTATCGTCGATATTGATGTTTTCCGATCTGTTTAAGTTCCATGTAACGTTCATATTTATGTGTATATACATGATATAATACACAATAAAAGAATCATGCATATATGCATTAAACAGATCAGAGCACTTCGATAGAAAATTTTGGTCTGTACAATGTCCTTATAAACTCTATTTCTTTCATAATAAAACTTCAGTATCTCCGGAAATTTACGAAATTTACAGCATGCTATATATACCGAGATATATATCCCTTAGAATTAAAGGGAAAAAAAATGTAATGAAATTTCATAAGAAATCACTTACGTACAACTGTGTCAAAGTGTAGTCTTTCGTTTGATTTCCTTATGAAATTGTCGCAATGAGACGATTGTTTCGGACACATAAGAGACGTAATAAACATATACAAAGAGATCTACACTGACTGTGGTCTCGTGTTTCGCTTTCTACAAGAGCGGTCGGAAGGGAGTGATCGCTGCTTATATATAGGACGGATTGTCAAAATTTTCATCTTTAAACGCGCTTCTACTCTCTGCTTTTCGTTCGGTGAACTTGCTCGGTTCTTCGGTAAATTCCTGTAAATGTATCGCAGTATCGTAGCAATCATATTCACAAATTGCAGCGGTTTGGACGCTCCCTCCCAGCTCTACTTACTGATCAAGTACAATACATAAAAGCTAACGCACTTTTCCTGCGCACCTGGTCAGTAAACAGAGCTCGTACGGCTCTTATACGCGGCTCAATGGGAATAAACTACTCGGTGAACCATAAACCGGGAGGTTGGTATTGGTGTTTGGCTGGCGAAAGCGGGGCCAATCCATAAACGGCTGTAGGCTGCATATGCGCAGGCAACGGATGTGCTGGGTGACCTGCCAGTAATGGTCTGGTCGAGCTGTGATGAGCTGGCGGTGGCAACGCTCGACTAGAATCATACAACGTTAATGGAGACGAGCTGAAAAAACGGGATAATGCACATTAGAATGACTCCATAAAGCTCTAAAATAGGAAATAATACATTTTTCTTATAATATACATTAATTGATTCACGAGACTATTTTTCTAAGGATAAACTTGGGACATGGAAGACAATCAACTTTGAATTGCTACATTATTTGTATGTTGATTAAACGTTTCAGCAGGATATCGACACTTTATTTCTTAGTATAAAATATTCTATTTATAACAAGAGCATTTCCTCTAAAGTTATATTAATATTCAATTTACCTCAGAATAATCTTTATTATGCTAAATAAATTTGATGCATTAATTAAATTGTATTATGATGCAACTTTGTAGAAATATGGAAAACTAAGCATCAACTTCCTGCGAATTCGCGCTTCGATTTACCGTTGACACATGCCACAGAACGTTTAAAATACAATAGGAAAGAGTTCACAACTCTACTTGGGCTACGAGATCTCAACTCTACTTAGGAAACACATATGACATGTACACGGTGGTGTATATTCAATGCTAGGTACGAGGATGTGTGCAAACACAAATTCATGCATCGACTAGTCTCCTAATTACCCACCCGGGTGTGAATCCCTGATACGCGGGCACCTGTTGCTGCTGGATAGCAGTGGCAGCCTGCGAAGGCGCAGCGGTAACGTACATAGGAGGCGGCACCGCGTGGGCCCTCGAGCGCACATGAGCGTACTCTTGGTAGAGAGGTTGTCCCAAATGCTGGGCACTGCCTATCATGGGCCCGCCGGCGGGACTCCTGCCGCCGCCGCTGCCGCCGGGACTCAGATGAGCCGGATGCCCGTGGTGGCTGTGGGTATGGCCCGGATGAGCCGCCGTACCTACTACCTGGCTCTGCCTACAAAACGCAAATCCACCCCTTCGTTATGCAGTTCACATGCTCCATCTACTTACTGCAACACGTCTCTTTAAAGGGAAGATAGAAGAGCTAAACGGGTGCGCTCTCTCGGACAGATTTGCAAGCCCCCTTTTCCGGTAGGACTCTCATAGGACGATCGAAGGAGGAGACAAACTAATTTACAGCAAATTTTGCTCCGAGGAATCGCGTAAAGATTCCTTGGATAAACATGCCATTTACTTGCCCAGAGTGTATGCGTGAGAGCCGCTTGCCATCAGCACGATCGTTTCTTTTTGAATGAAAGGGGAATCGCATGCACGCCGATTGTTCGAGGGGGGAAACATGCGCCGTCACCATGTGTTGCATCGTACAAATCGTACTAGAGCTCGTCTCGTGATTATGGTGCATGCCTCGAACAGGACGACCGGAGAAAGAGGATGCTTACCTATATTGATGCACAGGATTGGTCACCACCCACTTCTGATGGTCTCTGGAGTGAGCAGCCGGTGGTTGAACATACTCATGCTTGTACTCCGTCCGTTTTCCAGGCCAAGACACTCGCTTGTCCGTGCCGGTTGTATACACGATATGTTGTTCTTGGAGATGGGGATGCGCACTACTCGTGGTCACATACTGCAAGAAGTGGTCATGTATGTCATAGACATCATCCTAAAAAAATATTAACAAAAAAGTTACTAAAAAAAAGAAAAAAAAAAGAAGGAAAAAACCGTCACAATCGTTAGATGCAATTCTGCATTTTTTCCAATTTTCTCATATGTTCTGTAAGTATTTTGTAAAATTAATGAACAAAACGGACTGATAGATTTCGATGAAATTATTGAAAAATATAATTTAAATACTGAGGATGTCCCAGCAATCGTGATACAACCGGGAAGGTGATTCCTTGTGAAATCTAAATCTAAAAGAATGTAAATCAAGTCCTTTCTCAGTGTGAAAAATGCTTAAAGTAAATAAAGATACTATTGGTCAACCTGATAGGTTGGTTGCTCTTTGCAAGCTGGCGCGTGACACGGATGTGGAGCAAGATACTCGACGCCGGGCTCCGGTTTCGTCGCAATATTCATACTGCATTCGGACTGCACCTTTGCTAACAGCCGCTTCTTTTGTGACTGAGAGTATCCTGAGCTACTGCTAGGCATATAAATAATAAGAAAAGTTAGTCAAAAAGTTTATTAATAACACGGGTCATACAAACAATTATAAATTATTTTGTAATAATAATGAACTGAGCAATGCATTAAAGTCTTATATTTTAAACAAAGAAATGATCTAGAATTCTAGAATATAAGATTTCAATGCATCGCAGTAAAGTTCTAGATCTGCCGAATGATATAAGATTTTAAAGCATAAAAATGAATAAAATGCACATTAATGTTAAAATATGCATTTTATTCATTTCTACGCCTTAGAATCTTATATCATGACATGTAGCAGACCTAGAATTTTTAACCTTTAGAGGGCCGGCATTTTTCTCTTGAAATCTTGTATATTTGATACCCAAGATATACATATATAACATATGTCTTATATAAAGATATCGTGCAGATTCAGAGCCACTATAGTGGCTTTGCCGGCCCTCTAAAGGTTAACACGTTCTACGCCGAGCTATTTTTGCGCGACTTTTCAATCAAGCTACGTGTGTCACCGCGTATTTATTATTTGAGCTCAAACCGTATATATTATAACAAATTTAAAATTGAGAACATGTATTATCATCAAAACAAAAAGACATTTAACAAAACGCAGTGTAGAACAAAAAAAATAACTTATGAAATGTTTTATGATAATGTACTTGTTTATACTGAAAATATTAATAACTTAAACGGTCTGAATGGAAAGTTCAGCGTAGGCCACCGGTAGTGCACACGGCACAGAACATGTTAGTCGACACTGTTATCGAACGCTCACCTGCTAACGTGATGTTGCTGTTGCGGCTCGTGCTTGATTAACTGCGCAGCCTGTGGATGTTGCGGATGCTGCGGCAGATGCTGGTACAGATGAGCATGTGAACGGCTCGGACTAGCTTCGCCGTCGCTGTCGCCAACGGTGACATAGCTGATGACATTTTTACGTTGCGATCGATGCGACGACGAGCTACTATGAGTCGTAGCATTCCCACTCGCATGCTGCTGACTGCTGCTATGCGATGACTGCGGCATCGTCTGTACGACACGCGGCGTCGATTGTGTGCTGCAATTCAAGGAAAGGAAATTTTATTTCAAGTCATCGAGAACGCCGTCAACGTTGCATGCATCAATCATTAGAAAGTTAGTGCCACATTCGAGAAATATCACACACGCTAGAAATTACTTGCAACGATGTTACTTATTAAGGAATGTGGCTTTATGTTAGTCGATAGTTGTTTCACGCCAAGCTCCACAACCAGATCCCTAAATTGCCCGTACTTATCTTTTATTCGCAAACGGTAATCAAAATTTTATAAAATTTATATTATATACTATAATGTAATAGATCAGTGATAGATATAGATACTAATAGATTTCGGTTTTATAAAAATTTCTGAAATCTGTGCAAACTAAATTGATTCTACGGCAAATCTTTCAGTTTTCAAAGTAAAATATATTAGAAAGAAAATCGATTCTGGATAACTTAGCAACAAAATAGACTCAAAAATAGGAAGTCGTCCCTCGTAATATTTAATTTGTTAACTAGATACTTTCAGAAAGATTTAATTAATTATTGTTAATCACGTAACAATGCCTTTAACGACATGTTACATTAATATACCTTCGTATGACTTCTTCACGGACAGGACGTCCGTCGCCCGACAGGCGAGTTGCCAAGCTTTGACAGGCGCTGCACTGACGGTCTCCACAGCTGTCAATGATAGCCATGCGTGATTCTACTACCAACTAATAGTACGCTAACAGATACGCGTGCTTAATCGAATCTTTTTACAACAAGGATCATCAATCAACAATGTTAGAAAAATGCATTGTAAACATTCATTTTCGTTTTATGCATTGTTACAATATATTCAAAATTTTATCATTGTTATTTTAATCCACTAACTAATTTGATGAAACTGCAGATTTTTGTACAATTTAGTGAATGTTTCAATAACTTCCAATAACTACTAAACTAACATAACTTCTAATGCTACAAATATGCAAAAAAAATTGTATGTCAATTGTTATGTTTTATCTACTCGCAAATAAACATGAAAATCATTGCCATATATTCATAATATTAAAGTTTTAACAAAGTAAAACTAGTCTCAATTCCTACTTTAAATAAAATCTAAAAATGAAAAAGCTATCCTAAATCATATAAAAGTGCATTCGTAATCTACCATATTTTTCGTATATTGATTTTGATATATTAAATGCAGGCTACACACTTGGCGAACACTTACCATTTCTCCGGCGCCTCGTCTTCACTATCACTGCTAATCGTGATAACGGAAACAGCTGGCGAAGGCGAGTCATCGATTGTAATTGTTTGCTGTCGTACAGTTGCGATTGGTTGATGTTCCACATTGTGACTGCTGCTGTGCTTGCTACTGTGATGATGGGACTGCACCGACTGCTCCTGCCAATGACTACTCGATGTCGGCGAATGCCGTCGCATGCTGCTAGGCGGCGTACTCTCTTTCACCCGCTTCTTCACTGGACTCAGTTGTTGCGTCTCCTTCTTGTGTTCGTGTCTATGCTGAGACACAGTAACATGATGCTGATGATGCTTGGGAACGGTACGCTTGCCCCAACTCTGCGATGGATGTTCGACGAGCGCAGTAGTATTATAAACGTCCGTGACTCCGTGGAACACCGGCCGATGATCCTTTTTCCAAAACAAAAGAGATTAGTCGAAAACTGCTTTCATTTTAACGTGTGAAACTTAAGGGAAATTTGCGGATCAGAAAACACGGTAATAATAAATAATATAAAATCTTACAGATAAAAATTAATGATATATAAGGCTCTACTGATTACTAAAATCAATTAAAATCAATAGGAGCGTAAAGAGCCACAATGCTAGTTCTTCGTGCGAAGGTTAAGATATATTCGTTAAAATTGTTTACGTCAAATCAAACGTTTCAACCTGCCATCAGGCCTTCTTCAGTGTACATTAATAATAATACAAATAAAAAGAAAAATTCGCTCGCAAAATTCTACATTACGTGAAAGACGTGGAAGACGTTAAAATCATCCTTTCCACTCGATTGTAGTTCGGTAGAAAATAAGTTAGTATTGAATTAAATTCATGTCGAAGCGCTAGTCCACGTAGAGAGGACGAGGTGGAAAAACAGAGAACAGATAGTCTTTACATCTTACAAGTCAAGATCTTAATGATTACAGATAAAAAAATGGAAAATCTGACAACGGACTGATTGAATCTTTTACTAAACATCACGGATAGTTTATTGACGAATATTACCTGCAAAATAGCGGAACTATCGACGATGAGAGGCCTTCCCCAATCTCCGGCATCGCTGAGCAGCGGCTGTTGAATGGCTGCGTGCTGCGGCGGTAATTGCTGCCACGATGGTACGATTGCGGTCATCTGACGGCTCCCACCAGGCCAAGATGTCTGCACAGCATTCTATGATAAATGTATATCAACACACCGGACCACTGCGCGGTCATTCGCAAGCGATACGGAACACGGTTTTACTTACGGTGAGCAACATTTGCCGACCAGTTTCGACCATAGAAACGGGAACGTATTGCTGTTGAGCGGCCGCAGCTGCCGCAGCCACAGCTTGCTGCGATATAATCGACGGTTGAATCTGAAGAGGAGCCTGTTGCGCTTGCGGTGGCTATAAAATTATTAATAGTTAATTGTTCTAATAATGAGCATTAACTACGCACTATGAACAATAATCATTCTACTTACTTGAGCGACAACTACATGCTTCGCAGGACTTGGCATCGTTTGATAGCCAGGAGGTGGACACAATATACTGGGCACCAGTTGATGCGGAAAATCGTGCACGCCACTTCGCCCACTAGTCGACCCACTAGACGAACTGCTATATTGTGTCGCCCGTCGACTACTGTTGCTATATATTTGGTACTGAAACACAAAAAAAATATAAAACTTTTCCCAAGAAGAAAGATGAACCAAAGAGTCCATCAAAGTGCACGTTGATAGTGCCAAAAATATGTAGTCAGAAGTCTGTACATATACAATATTAAAGTTAAAATGAGCATGAAAGGAAACGAAACGATGGGAGTAAAAGAAAGGAAAAAAAGAGATATGTACCAAAAGATTAAAAAATCATATAAAAAATATGTATAAATTATGCAGAGGTATAAATTTTTACAAAGTGTTGTATTATTAAAAAAAGTATTAAATGTAATAATTAATGTAATTAATATGAATGAATAAATGAGTTAATTAATGAAATACATAAAATGTATCAACATACCAGATTGTCATATCCTGTTTGCGCGGTACGGTGCTCTCTGACTAATCGTTGCACTTGATTAGTTAATTGATTGTTGAAGGTAAGAGTCACCGCGCTGCCGTTCGTAGTTGGTACAAAATTGGCTACTAAAGACGTTGGTGGAGGTGGTTGAGGCGCCGGCGGAGCCTGATGGTGTGCAGGACTCGAGGTGAAGTCTCCCGCGCGCCTACAAATCTCCATCATCTGGACGGAAGCTTTGACGTTGTTACAATGCGCGTAATCGATTAGATGGTTCAGATTGACAAAAACGTGGTTGAGAGCCTCGCCTGGTGTTATACGGCGCTCCTGTAAATCAAATGTAAAACGGGCATAAGAAAATTCTTATATTTACATTTATGCGAAAAGAAATTTCGTTCTCCAATTAAATTAGATATTACTACCTGGTCCATTGTAAGCATCCTCTTCAAAAGGTCAATGAATTCTCTTCTATCCGCTTTCTCTGGCAAGAGCTGACCGCTATCTAAGTCAGTCGGAACGTTAACCTGACCGATATCGTCAAGACAATTAAAAATATATTTCCTCGCTTCCTTGGATTTGATACCAGTCTCTGCCTCGTGCTCTTCCGGTGTCTTTAACCGCCAAAATGGATATGTACCTAAAAATACATGTAAAGTAGCGAAGGAAGGCCACTTGCTATTCGATCACTATCACTATTCTGCATATCAAATTACGCACTGTCCATGTCTCGGTAAAAGAATTTGGTCGTTTTACTAGCGTTGTTCAGCATGTGCTCCGTCGGTAGGCCCTGTGTTTGACTTATATATCGGATTTGATCGTATTCAGAACTGCCCGGATACAGAGGCCATCCCAAAAACAACTCCGCAACCACACAGCCGAGCGACCACATGTCTATCGCTTCACAATACGGAAGTCCCAGTATGATCTCGGGTGCGCGGTAGTACCGCGATTGGAGGTAAGTGTTACAGACAGCTTTGGACACGTGTGAAGCAGATCCGAAATCGATGACCTTTACTCGATAAGGCTGTCGCATTGGATCCACCAACATAATGTTCTCCGGTTTCAAATCAGCATGTATCAATCCCAATTGCTGCAAGAATCAAGAATTCGCGTGTTAATCCCCGCCGTGTTGATTCAAGCAGCGAAGGATGGGACAGTGACGGAAGGCCGTGACACGTACCTTTAATTTTAATAAGGCGGTCAGTACTTGTTGAAGAATTGGCCTGATGTATTTGAGAGGTAGCGGTGAAAATTTATTCTGCTTCAAGAAGTCGTAGAGGTTCTGCTCTAGCATTTCGAATACTAAGCAGGTATGCGACTTGTGCTGGAAACATTCGTAGGCGCGCACGAAATTGAACTCATCCGCATTTTCCTGACTAAGTCGAGACAGGATGGAGACCTGTAAATAAAACGCAAGCATGATAGATTGCCCGTATAAAAAGAACGTGGCTCATGCTTGCTCCCGAGGCCTTCGCAACTTAAATTTACTGCGTCTCTTTTCAATATCTTACCTCAATCTGACCTTGGCGCGCATACGATGGATGGTTCTTTAGAATTTTGATAGCTACTATTTCGTTCGTTCCTTTTTTCCAACATTTCACGACCTGCAAAAGGCCAAATTTATCATTGCGTGTCAATATATCGGTTATTATTTTTTTTTTTTAAATTCAAAACTTTATATTAATATTGAACTTTTTGCCTACCTGCCCAAAGGTACCTCTGCCGAGAAACTCGAGGACTTCATATTGGTTAGTCATGGAGTAAAGGACTTCATGCTGCACCAAATGATAATCTCCGTCGCCCTGAGGATTGCTGCCACCGCCGTTTCCGTTGGCCGCGTTGGCCACCTGCTTGCTATGCGCCGTCATGCCTGTCTGCTTGTTGTGCTGTTGCTGCTGCTGTTGTTGCTGCAGCTGCTGTTGCTGTTGATTGGTATGGTGCTGCGACACTACAGTACTACCCACCGCATTCGTCGCGTTGGCGGAGTGGACTGCCAGGCCGTCACCATTACCCTCCCTCGACCAAGTTTTTCTCTGTAGGAGGAATACACCTTGTACAAAAATTTTTGAACGTTAAGAGATCGCCGTCGGTAGTCCAAGTGTTGAGAGCATCAAGTTGGATAGTTGGGAGGACGGTAAACGGCCAACAAATAACGACGACGAGTCAAGTCCGTCGATATTAGCCAACAACACCAACGAACACCTCGAGACACAGTGCGTACTACCTGTGCGGACGATCCCAGAGCCAGAAATTTTCCACGCTCGACATCGACGTAGATGAGAGAGCTTCGATCGTTCTGCCGATCGCGTGATTCGCATTCGCGCGCCGTTGGCGATTAATTAACGGATGTGCAATCTATAGCGAACGATGCACCGTGCATTCTACGCGATCGCGCGCTATGCGGCCATCGCCGATGAATCAAACGCTCGCATGTCAATCGCGAAAAAGGATCGAGAGAGAGAGAGAGAGAGAGAGAAAAAAAATATACTCCGCCGGCGAACTAATCGTTTCCGTTTCTCGCGAATCGCCAATCTTCGTCCCGTCGTCATCGCGTCGCGCGCAATCATCGAAATTGCGATTCTGCGAGTCCGGCGGATTTTCGCAGACGTCATATACGGCGATAGGCGCGCGTGTTGGCGTATCCGTACATCTGCACGACGGCCGGTATATGAAATATGTAATGGGAGCCTTGAAGGCAATCGATAGTTAACTACGCCATACGGAAACGTTATCTACACCGCCGGCGCATCGTGACACCCCGATACAACGATAGACCGCCGAAACACGATCGCCACGTTCTGTAATTATCTCCGCTATTGCGCAGTTTGAACGTACATGCACTTGGCATATCGTTTAATGAGCTTCTCGAAGAAAGAGAGAACAAGAAGCGAGCGAGTGAGCAAGACGGGAAATCTTTACGGCTTCAGAGAATCGGATTATCCGCGTAAAGTCTCTCCTCTTAGCCCGTCGCGATACTGATACATCCACACTTCCGGATGGCAACCGGGTCTCGCACGTAGCCGAAACGTAGATGTGCGCTTTCGGTATCAATGCTGCGATAGCTAATCTCGTTAGATGTTTTTTCTTTTCACAGAACATTATTTCATCGCGCGCCGCAATTCGGTCGAGAATTCTTGAATCGATCGACAGGCCGTACGCGCGAGGATGACGTACAAATGCATAAGCGCCGCGAATATCGAGTTTGTAGTAGTGTTCAAGTTCCCGGTAATAGACGTCATTTTCCCACGACGTGGAGTCGTGTGTGCGCCGTCGCTCCTAGATCGGAGAATTAACGAGCGTCGCGGAAATTGAGATGCCTCCCCTGTCATTAGAAGCTCGTTAACTCCCTCAAATACGATAACGCTTTGCTACAATGTTAGATTGAATAGTGCAAATTTCGAAAATCCACAATACGAACTGTTTATCGATCGTTACGGGGAATCGCGTTTCGAAGTATCGCGAAATGAATTCACGCCTCGCTGTACGCGTTTAAAAAGGCGCGAACGCTAGATCAGTCCGACGCGCGTCGATTCAGAACTTTGGCCGTCGAACACGATGAACGCGATATATACGCGTCGAGTTGCGATTGCGACAGAAAACAGCGAGAGTCGCGCGTCGCGCGGTGTCGTAGCGACGATATTGCGAGACGTTTGTATATCGCGAGCGGCGACGGAACGAAAACGTTTGGGAGAGACGCACTCGTATCGCGAGCGCGGTGAATCAGCAAAGACATTATGGCATGCAATTGCACAAACCGTCCGATGTTACTGAATCGGTGTTACGATCAGCGCAGCGAGAATGCAGTTTAGAAACTTCGAAGAAAGAAACACGACAAGCGCGAGGCGAACCGCGAACAATTATTAGATGAGGTATTAGTTAGATACGGTTCTTAAGCACAGTTTAAACGAGCTCATGCGACGCACACCAGAAACAGATTCACATCAAGCAGCGGAATTGGAATTAGCCTCGCTCCTGATTAAATCGCACGATTATTACGATACAATTATTGAGAAAGAGCAGAAAAATCGGCTAATAAATTCGTAACGGATGAGCAGCGAGCGATACGCGTAGACGAGCAGAGTATCGGTATCTTCTTGCTACAATCCAGACGCCTAGGCCTTTCCCTTTCGCCCGGCTTGCAGCAAGAGGCATCAATTGCAAAGCGAGAAGTATCACGACTCGTTGCCAAACGTAATCTCGATTCAAACTACCTAACTTTTCGCGCCAATAAGCGGTCAGTATTCAAGTCAAGTTTTATGGAAAACGACGGTATGTACGAGACCGTGAAAGAAAGTTTTTCCTGCCTGTCTGCCTGCCTGCCTGCCTGCTGCGTCGGAGAGAATATAGAAAACTATAGTTTTACTACGCGACCGCGTACTTGTTCGCGCTCTCGTAATTACGCGGGGCAAATGTGTACATACAGTTGGCTCGAGAGGGTGTACGAGCGATGGCGAAACAACAACATCAAGCTACCGTGAAACTCGAAACTGGCAAACAAATGACATTGAGACATTGCCGCGATTGTTTGCTCATTGTGCAGATTACACGCGATACTGAAAGAAAGAAAACAAACAAAAGCTATTTACGCCGCGCGTTCAGTGCTAAATACGATCGTATTGATGGCAACAGGAGCAGAGTTTAAAAAAATTCCGATTAAGAAGGAAGGAATATGGCGACTCCAAAGCAAATCTCCAAGGTGGAATTCGAGTCATCCTTGGAAATGTGTAATTTCTCACGCCTCAACATCGTGATTCAACATTAAATATAATCTTCGTGTTGGGCAAACGTAAGAATAGACAGCCAAATTTAGCGCTGAACACGGAGGCGTGGAACGCTGAGAGACGGAGCGACGGACTGGAACTTGGTCGGGCGACATTATACAAGCGCGGCAACATAAGGGAACGCAGGAAGTGGCACTAACCTTCTGGCCACAGCGCTGGTACGTGTCTAAGAGCTTGATCGTCGAGGATCGCACCACGATCTGCTGGTTCGGGCTACTCTTCTGCAGCGCATTATTGTTGTGCAGCGAGCTAAATGCGGTATTAGCACCGTTCACGGAGTACCGTTGTTGCAGACCGGTATTGTCCAATTGGTAGTCGCTGGTCGATTGGACCAATGCGTGCTGGATCACCGGTTGGCAAGTGTTGTACTCCAACTTGCGCTTCTTGCTGTGGTGAACGGTGTTACTGCTGCTGCTGCTGCTGCTGCTGCTGCTGCCGTTGACGCTACTCGTCTGCTGTGTTTGGATGAACATGTCATACATTCCCTGCAATCGAAAAGAAACGGCCTCATTAGTACTCGATGACGTCAATCAACCCCCACTATTATCTGCGAAATTTTGTCTACCATTATATTTACTTATTACAATATTTTTATCGATAATTAATTATAATCAATAATACCAATTGAAATGTTCCGCACCAGTTTTGAAAATAGAAATTCAATTACAGTGGAGAAAAGAATTATAATATTCTATTGATTGATGAATAATATTCCGTTAGTTATAAATTAATAATGTAGATTTTCACTAATTCAAATATTATTTCTTTAAAAAATAAAAACTTAATTATTTGAAAAAGTAGTATTTTTTAGTACTATTTTTAAGTTTAGAGTATTATGAAAATATATTCAAAACAAGATCGGTACTTTAGATATACGAATAGCAACATTATTTCTTCGAGCATTCGAAAAACACTTTGACAAAAATGTGAATCGCCACAATGAAAAAACGAAGAATACAAAAAGTAAGGCCAACGACCATGAATATTTTAGCGACTTCGCCTCCGACGTGCGTTCACGTAAGGCTACACGTTTGGGTCAGTGATTCTCAAAGAACTGTCGCCGGAGATCATATTTCTACGCGTAAATAATCGTCGGAGTCGAGTCGTCTTTCAATTTTTTTTTTCCAATAAAAACGACCGGGCTCCTCGTTTGCAAGGCGCAATTTCCCCGGAATTTACCGTTGAATCGTCTTCTTAGTACGGTTTTTTATCTCCTCCTGTCTCATTTTCATCGTGGCCGAGCATTCTCGCTGATCGTCGTCGTGCCGTTTTTATCATTCGGATACATTAAATGTTTTGAAACAACTTGTCCGAGGTTTTAACAACTCCCTTTCAATCTACCTTAGGAAAACGTCTGCCGTGAATTTTCAATGCGAGCAGCGCGCGTTGTAACGTCGCACATTAAAAATTATAATCGTCATGAATGCGAGAACGAGGTCTGCCATGCGGGATGACCCACAAAACGTGAAAGATAGTAGTAGTGTCTGTATCGCAACTTCAGACACTTTCGACATCTAATTCTCACGTTAAAAAAAAAGTTTAAGTTAATACAGATGAATATTTCAAAGTCTCTCTTATATTATTATTGTGGTACGCGCAGCCCCGCTATTTTCTCGCCCGCCTATCGATACACCATCAGTTCACGCAATTCTCGACGATTGCATCTAGATACACACAGTGTGCCTATGCGTGACTCATACGCTGAATTGTGCCGGCCGAATAATACCGGGCGAATGAAAACATCCGATCGATCGCTATCCCGAGTGTCTCGGAAGCGCAGCGCGCGATTTCAATTCCACCCCCTCGGATTCCCCTCCCTCTCGTCTACCTTTTATCATATCGGCACGCATCTCATTCTCTCACTATCTGCGTTCCCGACGTCATCTATCTGCGTGCGCGACGTGCTCTAATTATAGTGCTGACTGTCAGAAATAATGCTGGTCGGCATTATGAACGATCTACGGTACCACGAGGTACAGTTACGTTTAAGTTAACCGGCTCGACACCCGTCTGATCCTAATAAACTGGTGCAAACAAGTAGTCCAATCGTGCTGGTCGCCTGACAAACCGTAAAAAAAAAACTTCAGCTTGATGCAAATTTGTCTTCAATCGCGAGAAGACACACTCTTCGAATTTTTTAATCTCGTAATCGAACCATCAGAGATTCGTATTAAGACATCAGTCAAAAAGATTAGACACGATGGTAATAGTATTCATTGCACAATCTCATAAAGTTGATTTAATTGTGTCAACGATTTATATGTATTTGCTTCTTCCGAGATGATCAGTAATAAAATAAATGATGATTGATAAACGCGAACCACAAAGTAACATCTCTTGACATGAAAGTTATGATATATTATTTAATTTGCCCAACCTCTTGTATATTATGAAATATAGGGCGCACGAGGAAATTTATGAACGCAAATGAAAATTGCGGTAATCCATTTCAGTGAAATAATAACTGGCGAGGGTAAACTCCGCAGAATTCGCTGGCGTTTGACAAAGTTCGTAGTAGCCGTTTCGATGTAATTCGCCAGGTCACGTCACGGTGATTCAGCCTCGAATAAAAGTAACGAAACTTTGCGTCACACCCTGTAACGGCCCCCGCGCCCGTAAATCCGTATATGTACTGTACGTTCGTGCGGGTCGGGTACGTAGGTATGCATTGCCGCGCCACTTATATTCCGCGCGATGAGTCAAGCCGATCGATTGATGAACGGGGAAATCCGAGCTTGCCCGCTGAACGGCGAAAACTTTCGCGGCAAATTGCGAGGTAGCCAAGTAACAGCAAAACGCCGAGTGACCAATCGCGTCATCCGTCGCGACAGATATACGATCGTGTGCACGGAGTGTTGCAAAAATGCAAAAAACGACAATAATAGGGTATTGATTTATGGGAATTTTTTTGAAATGTATATGTAAACTGTCCGACAATCGAGATGTCATCTGTCATGTGTGCGGAAAATGTTTTAATTTTTTGATCATAAACTGGAATGAAACCGCGCTTTAAATTTTTGCGGAAGCGAAATTTATCTTCATATTCGTAAAACTTTATATTTTGCTTTTTGCATATTTTTCTAGAACCTTCTGTGCGCGGATATCATTCGCTGCGCGCGTTTTATGGCGAGTCAACGAGCACAAGCGGAACACAAATAATGCGCTAACCCCTCGCCGGGCATGTCGGCAGATTTACAACAACTGTACGCCGTAATATTTTTCGAAAACCTCGATGGAAACGTATTTTTTAAACAATGCGCCGTCCAAACTTGGCTGCAAAGACTTCAAAAACTCCCCGGCAGTGCACTTCGATGAGAATCGCAAAAAGATATGCTGGAAGAAAACTTGAAAGAGCATCTAAGCTTATCTTTGGAAAACCACCGGTCCCCGCTTTTTCTACGATGAAGCTGGGAAAAACCGCCGCCTACGATATAGAAAAGGTTATTCATTTTTAAGAGAGTCACTTTTCTAAGCGGCTGCCACGCAAACGCGTAGGCGGCGCTTAATATAGAGGCGCAAAATCGGCGGAAGAATACGCCTCATACGGTATTCGCGGCTTGCGTGTAACACGTACATGTGTGTAGATGTATTTGCATATTTCCTCTGAGAAATACGCGTAATTCTTTCGACGAAAAGCTACCTGCGAGAAAATTATTTTACGCTTTTTGTTCTGTTTGTTTTTTCCTCGTATAAGTAATTACCTTTTTTTTTTCGATTGTATCACGATACCTTTCGCATTTTGTACAAGCTACAACTGTATAATATCGTACTTATCGCGCTTGAAAGACGGAATCATATCATCTCGCACGTAACCGCAGAGACAGGCGCGGATTCAACGGTCATGCACCGGTGACCGGTCATTCACTGATGCATCTAACCCCACGTACACTGATAGCACGTAATCAATACACTGCGACATCTGCGTGAGGTTACTTTCAAAGTATCGTGCGGAAAACGTAACGGTGCGAAGAGTGTCTCGCGACGGCAGGAGTATCGATACTCGCGCGCGTTATCACTCGAGAGGAGGCTAATCAAACGCGTGACGTAAACGGGACGCGCGCAAGCTCTTAATGCGATATTATATTAATTCTTCGCGCCGCAAAGGCTAATGCGCGGTTTAAGCGCCATAAATTAGAGTCCTAGTATCACAACCATAAATGTCCGGAGAGTTACATCCCGTATTTATAACCGGCAATCCTCCGTGCGCAAAAGTCCGCCGACAAATTGGACGTTCGTGCGTTAGGCTTCATTTGCGCGCGGCGCGCGGAGCAGCACGGCCAACAATCGGATGGAGCGGAGTAATCCTTTGCGAATGGTGCACCGTAAATAATCGATGCCTAGTGCAAATGTTACCGCGTAATGTAATCCTCCGCGGTTCTACCGAGTTCTAATGGAAGCACGTATTAGCGACGCAGTTGTGAAGAATGTGCTCAGAATCGAAAAGAAACCTGTCGACTCCTAAGCCGATCAAAAATATCCTTTTTGACTTTTCCTCCCGTATTTTTAAATCGTCTTAAATTTGCATTATTAAAATATATGATTATGCGTCAACTTCGGAAAGTTTTGCAACGTCTTACTTCGTATATTTTTAAAAAATATATACTTAAACCATGTATGAGAATAAAACTTTCGAATAACTAATCTCTTCAAATCATTCTGCACGTGATTCTGTACTTTCCTTCGTAAATATGCAAAGATTTCTATTTTTCATTTAATCTTCAATCTTCGAATTCTGAATTAATGTTTGCTTAGAAACGGGGAAACATTGCGGGTTGCGGAAGTTTAAACATTCTATTTTCGGCAGACGGCCTCGTTCATTAGAGTGTAATCAAACTCGGTTCGCGCGACGCGTCGATGCGCGCCGATTTTTGCGTCTCGCGTGTGCGTCAATTAAGCTCCGCCGTCGATGGATTCGTCGATATATCGTCAATGCAAAGTCTAATTATAATTTTTACGTAAACCCACCCTTGCGCAAATAAACGTGCAGCCACGCGGAATAAATCCTCCGCACGTTATTATTACGCAAGATGCACGTCGAAGCACAAACGCGCAGCTTTTCGTGGAACACGAGAAGCGCCGGCAAGTGTCGATGGCGATTAAGCAATTGTTGCACGGATTAACACACAATGTGACAGGCCACGTTCGCGTCCTTATGACGTAAGCCCTATCGAAAACACTTCCCATTCGAGCGATGACGGCCACGAAAATTTGCATGACTCAAAAACATTGTTAGTTTTTTTTTTCCTCGACGAAAGAATGGCATACGTGCTCGCTCGCGTCGCCCGAATCGCCGTCGTTTGCGTTTTACATTTTCGCTCGTGTGTGCAACCGATAAAACGCAACCTCGTGCGATTCTCGGATGTGACGACCCCGCCCGCGACCGAACACGTCCGCCGGATGATATTTATATCGATCAAACTCCATCGGACGATAGAAGGACGACGCCGACTCTTTACAATAAGAAAAGACATTCGCCAATGTATAT